CTTTGGATAAGGGCCCAGCATGGCCAGGTGGTTAGGGCGCTCGACTCGCAATCTGAGGGTCGCGGGTTCGAATCCCCGTTCCGTCAAACATGCTCGCCCTTTCAGCCGTGGGGGCGTTATAATGTGACGGTCAATCCCACTGTTCGTTGGAAAAAGAGTAACCCAAGAGTTGGCGGTCTTACACTGCTAAATTAGGAACGGCTAGCGCAGATAGCCCTCGTTTAGCTTTGTGCGAAATTCAAAAACAAACAAACAAACAAACACTTTGGATAAACCCGTTTTGTAAACATATAATGTTTTTATTGACTTTGGGTATAGTATACATTATCATTAATTCTAGAAACTGTAAGGTAATTTTCACGGTCTTCCATTTTGATAGATCACATTATCATAAAATTTCCACATCTCTAGAACACGCCTGTCCGGTTTAGATTGAGCGTGTAGCAATAAACAGCTCTGCAATAGGAACATGTTTTAAAATTCAATTAAGGGCGTCTCGATTCAATTACAAAAATATCGTAGCATATGTAAATTTAAAGCAGTTTTCATAGACGGCGCTAGATATACAACATACAATAATTCCTGGATATTCGTTTAATGAAGGTTTTATATTTTAGATTCTCACAGAATCTCTAATTTTCTGTCTATTCAGTTAGTTTCTTTACATAAAACAGAATCACTGTTTTCAAATATGACATGTTTTACTTCCTTGAGGTATTCTTCCTAATGTTTGTGTCTCTTCCCGTTTCGCTTACATAAGGAATGATTGGATTACATAAACTGTACTTACTTTCATAAATCGCTCTTTGTTTGCTTTTTGGTTGGATAAATGTTTGACCAATGTTTTTGATTTTTCAATCTAGTTTTTGTTTAATTAAAAACCGATTTTTTAATAGACGTTTCCATAGACTGATGGTGTTTTCAGTGACATGTTCAAGGAAATGAACTTTACTAATAATATTGGTTTCATTTTTGTGCTTGTTTACAGGTATCGAAGCTGGATACTTTCTTTACCTATTTGTTTCCATAATGATTCGGTTTATGGTTCTTTCTGTGTAATCGTTTTTTTTTTGTTGAGTGAAAACTTGAAAAACTTTTTCAGTTTCACTATTCAAACTGTGAGAAAAAAATAATGTAAATTAAAAAAGACCTTTAAATTAGAATGAGCGGAGTTTCAGTTGAGATATTGTTATGATAATATGTCAGGTTTCTATGAATGCACGTGTTAAATCTTGTTAATTTTCTGGTGAGTTGAACAATTAAAAGATTGCTGGAGAAGTTTTTTTTTGCTTTCTGTAGTAAAATTAATGATGGGATTCAAATTGCTGACATGATCTGTCTGAGTTAAAACCGCAAAAAAAAACACATCATTTGGGTATACAATGTAAAGGACTGCAAATGGCGAAAGGAAATGCTTTTTTGATAAAAATTGTATGAAGAACACATTATCTATTGGATATGATAAAATGGCCGTCGATCTGACAATAAAATATGTCGTTAAACTTGAAGTGATTAGACTCCCTTTCGATATGCTAATTCTTGGATAATTGTATGAATAATTAGTTTGAATACAGCTTTTCTAGAGATCTAAGTGTCATTTTGTTTTTGGATCTAACTCTTTTCAGGAACTGGAAAAATAGTGTAACCTCACTCTAGGGGGAAGGGAGCGGCCGAAACAGAAACAGGATCAAGCGGATACAGACTTTATTGGGACAGATATTGTAGTACGTAACTCTTTTCTATGATTAGTGTAATTATAGACCTTCGTTCGTTCAATTTATATAGGTCGTAGCAACTACATGCAGAGCATCTGTACGAAAACCTAGACAAAAGTACTTGAATAAACGTGCAAGCTATACTGTTTATGGAAGGAGAAAATATAATGGTATTAATATCATTACAGGCTGAAGTAAAAATCTATATCATGTCACCTAGGAAGGAAGTAACATGTAAAATAGTATATTACACCACACAGCAATAACTGCTAATAATGAGCTTATATATTCAAGTATGTCCAGTGACGACATAATTTAAACATTTGTATTTGATTTAAATGAAGACAATCGTCAGCACGGAAATTACATGTTCATGTAATACTCTAGAAACAAAGAGAAATTTTGCGGCACAATAATGTCAATAATTCTTAAATGAATCGTAAAAATTAAGACATTAAGGTGTTGTAATAGTCTTGTAGTGTTAACCAATGATATCTACAAATGTGCCGTTTATACATAACAGTAAACTATTTGTGTATTTAGTGACGTCTCTGATTATATTTTTCTTCTTTTTTTTTACAAAATTTTGGTTTTACTTAACTACTTATGGTATGGCCAGTTGGTTAGAGAGCTCGACTCGCAATATGAGGGTCGCGGTTCGATCCCCATCCCCACCAAATATGCTCGCCCTTTCACCGTGGGGACGTTATAATATGATTATTAATCCCACTATTCGTTGTTAAAAGAGTAGCCCAAGAGTTGGCGGTGGGTGGTGATGACTAGCTGCCTTCTCTCTAGTCTTACACTGCTAAATTAGGGTCTTACCTAACTACTTATGAGCCAGACACTTTTACACCGTTATCTTTTCTTTATTTCCTGACCTGCGTTGTCCAGTTTTAAAGAATAAACAAGTAATGAAAGATGTAGCTTTCTAATTTTTTATGCCTTAAAATAACAAACAGATGGATATGTAAAAAAGCATATATCATAGGAAATAATAAAGCTGTAAAATAATACGTACATTAAAAAAATGAATTGAATATTTCAAATAATCATCAGCATGACTTTATATTATCGAGAAATCTTGAAAAAAATATCATCTCACAAATTTGAATTTCAGATCCAATTAAAGGCTACAGTTTTTTCATCGCATAAAACATTCCACTATTATGATTCAAATATTCGTCTAAACAAACAGGATCTTGAATAGCTTTCCACTTGCCGTTGTCTGTTAAATCGTCCATTACGCTCTTGAAGTTTTCTTCGTCGTTCTGTTCAGTAGGGTACTCGAACAACCAGCAGACTAGACCCCCTGTCGGGAAAATGTTGGACAATGGAATAAATATTATTTCAATATTACGATAAAAGTGTTAGAAACTGAAACTTTAAAATACTATAAATCACTAATAGAAATTCTGTAGCATTTTAATAATTATTCAAAGTTAGTTTCTTGGACCGAATCATAAAAGTCACTTTTTCTTCTTAGCAATGTCTCATTTTCTATGTTTGTCATGATCTTTAACATGCTTTGAGACATCACCACGTAAAAATCAGCTTAGGTCATTGTGTTCTTTTATACATTATCCTCAGTTTTCTTACTGTGGTCAATGGAATTCATAAATCTCACGTTTTCCTTTTCCGTTGTTTTCATTTTTGGATGGCCCGGCATGGCCAGGTGGATAAGGCGCTCGACTCG